TCCACTGGGCATCAGTTTTCAGGATCAACAACCATGGGAAGAAGGAAACTCTGCCACTGCAGCCAAATCCATGCCTGCTAAAGACCAGATGTTCCCAGCAGATCTGAGTTACGCAGATCACAGGAGCTCATAGTCTGAACACCAAATCTGTACCTAAATTTTGTCATAAAGACACTAGAAATAGACATCCAACATAAGATTAGAAGTTTCAAAGACTAATTAGATAAAGTACTTGAAAAAAAATTGTATGAACAGAAACAAAGCATTGGTCTGGTCCTCAATGTGTTGTTCCCAGAGCAGCATGGTTTGCATCACCTGGGACTTGTCAGAAATGCAAATTATCAAGTCTCATCCCAGACCTACTGAACTGGACCCAGCAATCTATGCTGCACTCAGGCCTTCTGGATGATTCTGGGCAGCTACAGTTTGAAAACACGCTGCTCTAGTGGGAACAAAACTCACCAGCTGAGGTTCTCACTTAGAAGCCAGAAGGTATAGCGACCTGACTGGAGGCTCTGTGGGTTGACCGAGGTTCTCCATATTCTGGGCTAGGCCACTGCCATTTAGAATGTTTGGGGGGATCATTACCCCAAACAGACCACATGGGCTCACACTTAACCGAGGCAGTGGCTATTTCAGAGCAAGGTCACTGTTAATATAAGGAAAGATAGGCACACTAACATTCATATCATGGTTATCTGTGGTTAAAAAAAGAAGTTCTAAGATACTTGCTAGGCCTATCTGCTCAAGCAAATATCAAAATTTTTCAGGATACAAATGTGATTTGCCATAAATAACAATTTTATTCACACATTAACACAATATAGGAGAATATTTTGTATTTACATTCTCTTTTAAAACTTCGGGGTTTTTTTAACTATTCATGTACATATATGTACTAACACATGTTGTGAAACATCTTACAAAATTTCACATAATATTTAACATCTCCTCTAAACCCAGAAATAAAAACATACTCTAGGAATGTGCTCAAAATGATCATCTCTGCCACTAGGACACCTTCAAGTTTAACATATTTTTAAGCTTGTGTATAAACACTGGGCCCTGTGGAGACAAAAAGGTGAAAGCATCCACAGAGAAGCCCTGTGATGAGAGATCAGTAAGATATGATCCCTGCTCTCAATCACTGGATTATCCTAATAACTGGAATCATTGGCTCCACATTCTCAACATCGGAGAGGGTTTCAAGGTCCCAGTTTTTATTTTCTTCTTTTTTGCATGACAGCAAAGTTAGCCATGGAGAGAAGCAGCAGAGCTACACTGCTATGGTATTTAAAAGAGCGAATGAGAAACTTTGTATATGTGACTAGTGAGACTCCCTTTTCCTTTATTTGAAGCATTGTTCCCAGATCATACCTCCAGTACAGTGTTCACATCTATACTCACTGAAAATGATCAGGTATTTGGTTATTTGACCCAACCTGCCCAAGTTATTTTGTTGTCGTTTTAATTAGCACACTTGCTATCACAGGCATAGCTTCTTAAGTGAGGAAGTGTATTAGCTGGAAGGAAGAAAAGAAGCCAAAGACCTTCCTTCCACTTTGGGACCTTTTCTCTGCCCATTAATGAATCTGTCATCAGGCAACCAGGTAAACTGAAAGCAGCCAGTGTTTACATCAGTCTGCTACTTGTTAGCTCTGGTAAGAGAGGGAAAATGGAAAAGAAAAAAAAAACATCTGGGGAGGAAATGTTGAAGTCAGATTTTATAATTCCTTTGAATTTCTATAATCCTTGTTCTCTGTAGCACTAAACATCATGGTAAATCCTGAGTTCCTAGTGTAGGAGTCCACTCTGTCCTTCTTGTCCTAACTTAGCAGTACATGAAAGACGGACCACAAAAACTGCAGCAATGGTGAGTCCGATGGACTTCTGAGAGTATGCACAGACACTTCATCCATGATGAAGTCTAATTCAAACCACCTTTTAAAAAAAGGGGTTGGGATCAAAAAGAAAATTTGGGATTGGAATAAAATATGAGCTAAACCTCAAGCTAGAGTTCAAACACAGATATTCTGCCACCTTTGATTCCAAAATGAACAAGCAGGGAATATATCAATAATTATGAGGACCCTTTTGATTTCATTGAGGGGAATTTAAAAGCAAGATCATCATGGCCCAAAATGTATGAATACTTTGTAGAATATTCTAGAATCGTCTACTTTTGAATAAGTACTCAAGTGTGATCAGATGACTAATATAATGCACAAATTCAAATATGGTTTATTTTATACTATAAGTGGTATCTGTCTACAGGTGAAAAATATACAGTCACAGAAAAAATATGGAACCTAGGTTTCCTAGGTAAGATCATTCTTTAGCGTGTATTGCATTTAAATAATGTCTCTGCCTTTAGAGTAATGATTCATCACTACATTAACACTAAAATCATAGGCCTTGTAGAGGTCACCACACCTTAGTAGGTCTTTCTTCTTAGGTTAATATTTCTACATAAGCTTGGCACCTTTTTCAGCATATGCAACACACGTGATTTGGTCAACAATGCATATCGGAGGTTAAAGGGATGTTTTTCCTTTTACAGAGCATCAATAAATTCAGTTCAGCCATTCTTCTCAAGTTAATAAATCTCTCTCCTTATTTTCCTCCTGTCCTATTCCTGTTTTCCTTCTCTCCCTTTAATATACAGTTAGGGTTAAGATACCATTCCTCTTCATTGCACTGAAATAACAATACATTTACTGGTTTTGATTAAAACACAACACATCAAAATGAGTATGTGCAAATTCAAGATTTTTTAATGCACTACATTCAAAAGGCACCAAAGGCAGTCAGAAGACTCCCTGGGAAATACTATTTCTATAGTTCCATTCTATTTGTTTCACTCTTATAAAGTAGATTTGCTTGTGCAAATTTCCCCAAATTTTGAAGTTTTACTAAGATATTGAAATCTGCTAATATTCTTCAGAGAACTAAGGTGTTGGATTTCAATAATGGTAATATGTTATTTGAAAATATATAAAGTATATTCATTCTCATTTTATACAAATTGATAAAATGTGTATTTTATAAATATTTGGAATGCTATATTATTTGAAATAATATTTTATAAAATAATATATTATTTTAAAATGTATATAGTGACAAAAATGGATGGCAGAGAAGCATTTTAAAGTCACCTCATGCTGCAGCTCCTAGTGGCACAGATCACTTAACTGATAAAATGATGAATTATTCAACTGCACTAGTCTCTAGCTCTTTAGACAGAAAAACAGTCAAGGCCTTGGCCAAGTAGCTTGGTTGGTTAGAGAAGCATCTTAATACACCAAAATTGCAGGTTTGATCTCCAGTCAGGGTACCTAGAAGAATCAACCAATGAATGCACAGATAAGTGGAACAACAAATTGATGTTTCTCTCTCTCTCTCTAAAATCAATAAATTAAAAAAAAATAAAATTAATGAGGAAAAAAAACAATCCTCACCTGGTTAAGTCAGCAAAGTCCAAAAAAGAGCAATAAAAATTCACAGCAATTGCAAAATGCAAAGGGCTTCCTAGTTACAAATGCATTATTGAACTTGATGCTTCCTTCCCAAGGTTAGCCTTCTGGTGTGCTAACATCACAATCCCATAAAAGTGATAGATAAAAAAAATCCAAGAACAAAGAAGTAATTAGCTCTGTAGAGATATACCAGGTAGGAAGAGCAGGTTTCAAAGGATAGAGTGCAAACCCTTAAGTAAGGAAAACTGTAGACCTGAGTCACTTCTATACAAATCCAATCCTTTAAAGTAGATGTGTGGGATTGTCCTGCAGTCTCTGGAACTAATTGATGAGGTTTTCTGTAGGAAGTTGTTTGATCTAAGACAATGACATGTATGGGTGTTGTCCTAATGTGTGAGGGAGTGTATGAGAACTCACCAAAATCTGTTCTCCTGGAGGAGACTAGGGGACACCTTATCCTATGGGTTTATATTCAACATTTCTCTAGGCATTCCCTTTTCTATCTTAATGAGTCTAAAACTCTCTATAATTTTCCTCTCTATTACTGTTTTCTTCTCCAAACCCCCTCTCTCTTTTCTCACATACTCATCCCTGAGGCCCTCAATTTCCTCTGTGGACACTGGTAGCACCAATGATAGCAGGAAAATAAGTCCATGTCCTTACATTGGCCCCATGTCCAAACCCCGCTTTCCAGAGGGGTTGGAAACTGTCTTCTGGCCCAGCCTTCTTCCCACCTCCCTTCTAGAATGACCTCCAGATTTGAAGCTTCTAGCCCTAGAGACCCTGCCTGCATCTTCCTGCTCCCTGACTCTCATGCATGATCTCTAAAGAGTGATATGCTAACCTTATCCAAGCCTTAGGTACACAAATAAATAATTTTAAAAGCGTCTTTATTCATGTGTCTGTTAAACACATAGCAGCTCACTAAAGAAACAAATCTCACAAATCATGTTTCTCTACCTTTTTTCATAATGACTTCCTCTGAAGAGCTTTTTCAGACATTTTGTTCTAATATCATCCTCCCTGGAATTTTAATATCACAGATATACTATGTATGTGTTTATGTAATATATACACATTAAAAGAGTATGACTTTTTTCACCCAGCAAGAACCAACTTTCACCCTCATGGGAGACATATAATCACCAGAAAATGCATGATCCTGAAGCAGGCAGCAATTGAAGGAATTTAACCAAAAGTATCTAACTACTATTACTACTTAGTGGAATACAAACCACGAGAAACATCATCTTTCCTATACAGATCAGTAATCTGTATTTAAAAGCTCCAGAGAAGCAAAGTCTTAATCTTCTGAGATTCTGGAACCCAAATCACCCTGCAGTGCTACTGCCTCTTCCTCCACAGAAAAGTCTACAGACATACAGACATAGCAAGCATTACCCTCAAGTTAGTACCAACCCCAATGAAGTTCTTTCTTCACCCTTAAAGCCTTTTAGTTACATTCTAATGCACAAACACAGTCCAACCCATTTCCTAATCCAGAGACTAGATAAATTCACTTACCTCCTGCCGTTTGAAGTTCTGGACATATTCTTCAAACTGTTCATCTTTTGTCTCATCAGCTTTCCCAAGCTTCTGAAGGACCTAGTTTGCAAATAAGACAAAATGGTTTGATATAGTAACAGTTTCACATAAAAGGCAGAGTAAGACTGCTGTTCCGCTCCTCTGCGAATTCAATCTTAGCGCAGCTAGTTTTTCTGTTCTGGAAGCATCTTGGCTTGGTGGCCTTGGAGCTGAGCACACTTGGACTTTAATTACAGCTCCACCACTCACAGGCTGTGTGACCTTGAGCAAGTGTCATGGCAGGTTGCATTTATTTATTTACATATCTATTTCCTCCAGTAACCCATACAGGACTTAAAAGACAATAGCTACGTCTTGTCTTTTCACACAAAGTATCTGGCACAATGTTTGATGCACAATAGGTACTCAACTTTTTGTTAAGCTGTGAACCAAAGTGATTTGACTATACTATTAAACTACTTCATAGGGATGGTATTAGAATTACTGGAGTCAGGCACATGGTAAGTTTTCCCTCACCATCTTCTACAATAATATTCCCTTCAATTGAATAAACACTCAAAGGGGCACTGGACTACCCAAGGCCCCATTCTAAGCACTGGCCATCCAGAAATACAAAAACAAATAAAACGAGGCCTCAGCACTTAAGCTTAAGAAATGTATAATATAGAGGAGTAGACAAGGCAGACTCACAAATTACAAAGAAAACCTGTAATAAGCAACATGAGCGGTTGCAAAGTTTTGTTAACGATGTGCCCTAGAGCTAAGGTCAGGGAATGCTCTGTGGAGGTTTTCAAATTGTACTGGAAATTCCAGCAGACAGAAACATGTCAGACTATATTCCAGCCAAAGGAGCCTATGCAAAGATCATTGGAAAAATCATTATGCATTGTGAGACTGAGCAGCAGTCATTTAGTTTCCCTACAGCACAGGACAGGTATTAGGAAAAGTAATTGCAGAGATACAGCAAAAAGTTACTTTGGGACAGAGAAGAAGGATCTTGAGAGCAATGACTGGGTTCACTATTCAATATTCACATATCTCACTTTAAAACACCAACTTATTCAAGAATATAAAAACTCCATAAACATTGCCTTCTCAAATTACACACACCGTATGACATTACCAAATACGTCTTTATGAAATGTAAACATTTGGGCATTAAAACATATACTCATAAAAAGCACTTTCTGTAGATAGGTTTTTTTATTAGATTATGCTACTTTGTTTCCTAAAAATCAAAGATATAACCTTGTACAAATTAACAGGTTTTAATGATTCCTTTCAATACAAAGACAGACTGAGAAAAATTACCTAAAACTTAGGAAGAGAAAAAAAGAGATCCCTGGGAGTCCTTTTCTCGTGCATTTTTGGACTCGTACTTCTGATGGGTTTCCTATCAACTTGGGCTATTTACAGCTCCAGAAAGACAGGGGTTAACCTGAAGATTTTTGTTTGGAAGAGATGCAAATAGTTTCTGTTCAATGGAAAGGTTAACCCCAAAGGTTACAGCTTATGATACTGCAGGGCATTTACCAGTTAGGGATCTAATTCAAAAATCTTATTCTAAAATCCCTTTATTAAATAGTCACAAATACCCAGCTCTTCAAATATAGTTTGAATCAATTTTTAACATCTTACTGGATTACTCATTAATTAATGAGTTGAATAAAATCTATGGCATATGTTTATTTCATGTTTGTATGAAAACCTTGTCTTTAACTTTTGAAAAATTATACTTTAACAACAGGATCAACTTGGTAATGCTGTGCAAATGTAAGACACTGTTATTATTATTTTATTACTATTTTAATAAGAAAGGGCAAAGCAAAATTTCACAAGGCTACTTGCAAGAGACATAAAATTCAATGACATAAAGATTCTTGGTCTTGTTATAAGCTCTCCCATCTTTTTATTCTAAGTGCTTCTTTTTTCTGGTTTGTTGTTTTTTTTTTAAGCTAGGTCTCTTAAATGACCATCCACCAAAAACACATGGGAACACTAAAGTATCAGAGGAAAGACAACTAATATTTACAATATGAATTTTCTCCTAATTCTTAAAGTCTACTTATTCATGAATTTTTAGTTTCTCTAGTTCAGGTAAGTCATTGAGAACCAGCAACACCTCATCTGATGCAGCAGTTCACAAAGGCCAGGGAAGACTATCAAACTCTCATGAGGAAGCAACAACAGCTCAGTTCTACAACTTTATATATTAATGAAAAGGAACTCTTGTCTCAGGAGGGAAAAAACAAACAAACAAACATTAATTGAGGATCTAGTATGGGCCTGACACTGCAGAAAGTGATTTATACATTATCTCCTCAGTTCTTGCAACACTCCTATCTGGTACTTATTTTGGATCACACAAGCGGCGTGTTGGATACCCTCAAGAAAATCCCCATTCTGAGGCCTGATACCTCCGTCACCATCACATATAGTCTTTTTCTTCTTTTCTGTTTCATTATTTATCATTCTCTGTTCCAAAATTTAATTTTATTTCTTTTTTTAATTTTTAAATCATGTTTATTCTATTACAGTTGTCTCAATTTTTGCCCTCCTCCACCCATCTCACCCCACCCCCCACCCCCGCTCCCAGAGTCAATTCCCACTCTGTTGTCATGTCCATGGGTCACTCATACATGTTCTTTGTCTAGTCCCTTCCCCTTCTTCCCACCATTGTCCTCCTTCCCCATTCCCTCTGATCGCTTTCAGTCTGCTCCATATTTCCGTGCCTGTGGTTTATTTTGTTCATTAGTGTATTTTCTTGAATAGATTCCACTTATAGGTGAGATCATATGGTATTTGTCTTTCACCAACTGGCTTATTTCACTTAGCACAATATTCTCTCGTTCCATCCATGTTTCCACAAAAGGTAGGAGTTCTTTCTTTCTTCTTTTTAAAATGCAGATTGATTTTATTTATTTTTTAATGTCAAAATCCATTATAAAATATTAAAAAATTTAAATCCATTATAAAGTCTCAGCAATTAAAACAATATGACACCAGCACAACCTGAAACATAATAATATCCGAATAATAGGGATACTAGGAGAAGAAGAGGAGGAAGGGATAGAGAACCTGTTTGAAAAAGTAATGATGGAAAACTTCCCTAATTGGAGAACACAAAAAGTCACACATGTCCAGGAAGCACAGAGGGTTCCATTCAAGAGGAACCCAATGAGGCCCACTCCAAGGCACATCATCATTAAAATGGCAAATAACAAAGACAAACAGAAAATCCAAAAGGCAGCAAGGGAGAAACAGGTAATAACATATTAGGGAGCCCCAATACGGCTAGCAGCTGACTTGTCAACAGAAACACTGCAAGCCAAAAGGGAATGGCAAGAAATATTCCAAGTCATGAAAAGCAAAGGTCAGCAACCAAGACTGCTCTACCCAGCAATGCTCTCAATTAAAATGGAAGGTGAAATAAGGAGTTTGCCAGACAAAAGAAGGTTAAAAGAATACACCCCCACCAAACCAGCACTGCAAAATATGCTAAAAGGACTGCTTGAAGAAGATGAAGGAAGAGTCTATGAATACCCACTTCCTTTTACAGTCACCAATACTTGATATTACCAATATTTTTAATACTTATTAATATGATTGTAACAATGATGTGTTATTTTAATTGTTACTTTATTATTTGTTGAAACTAAACCTGTTTTTGTGTATTTCCTGCATATTTCTATTATTTTTAAAAAGCTTTGAATGATTTTTTGATATTCTTTATCCATTTTTTGACTGTTAATAGAATTTCTTCCTAAAAAAAAAAAAAACCAAAAAAACTATTAACCCTTTTTTAGATGTGTTGCAAATAATCTTCTCTTTCTAATGGGAAGCTCATAGGATTTATACATGAAACTATTATCCTCATTCTCATCCCAAATCCCTACAGGCTACTCTACCCTAAGAAAGGCATATCTCTTAGGCTATACATCTACAACAATGGAGGGGATCTTTAGCAGACCCTTTGCTTAAAGTTCATTACTTAAGTTTGAAATCATGATTCTTTGTGTTTCATTTCTAGTAACTATACTGTGTAACTAAAATAGCACAACAACAAAAACTGATCCTGGGTATAAAGAGAGGTAAAATAATTATAATCGGATGACACCATAAGCTCACACTTTCTCTTCTAAAGAAATAGGAAAAAATCCAGAAATCCTTGAGTTATAGCATACCCACACCTTGATGTCAGCTTCCTGAGGCCAACAGCCACAGAAGAGAGATAAGAAAGAAATGGGACAGAGGCAGGAGTGGATCTGGCTTTTATTGAGAGCCTTCTCCATGTTATTCACTACATTAGGAATTTTGTGTCTATGATTTCAGCCGATCCTCACTGCAGCTTGCTCATCCCTATTTTACAGATGAATGAACTGAGATTCAGAGAACTCAGGCAACCAGCCCAAGATCATTCCTTTTGCAAATTGCAGAGCCCAGGTTCAAACCCAGTACTTACTTCTCCCAAAGTCTTCACAGTGCCTTCTGACAAAGACAGTGTCAATGGGCTGATGCACCCAAGGAAATAGATGCTCATAACACAGTCCTCAAATATAAATGCCAAATTTCTCTAGAGATCAAAATTTTAAAGCGGTCATAGAGAGTGGTATCCAACATAGGCACTGAATTATTTGCCTTTATTTGTATATATCCAATTCATCCATAAAAAACCATGATGATTCTTCTTATAATAACAAAAGTTGTTTCTCCTCTTTTTCTATACGTTTTAATGTCTTATCTGAGATTAAAGGTCCATCTTGCCAAACCATCATATTCCATTAATACCATCATCTATTCTCCCTTGTCACTTTCCCAATGTTGTTGCCACACTCTGTTTTCTAACATGCCCCTTTGGAAGGACCTGTAATTTCCCTCCGTTAAATCCTATTATGGTTTCTTGAATGAAATTCTAATTTCTCGAGAAGGATCCCCAAATCCCAATGCCCTCCTCAGATTCTTACGTATCAAGGGAGACAGCACATACCAGAAGGAGTGGTGGCTGGAAGAGTGGTGAGACCTTTCTAAGGTCCTAGTCCTTAGAAATTCATTTAGAGATA